CGTGCTCGAGAACATATCCCACAATGGCTAAGTAAAGGTGTAGTTAAAACTATTAACAGTTCGATATGGACCATTTGGTCCAAACGCCGGCCACAAAGCCAGGCAGCGTGGAAAAATCCTTTTCTATAATCTACCGAGTGCCAAATAAATTTCCAAAATCATCGAAGCACCGCATGCTCCAAATAGCAGAGGCTATTGCAATTCGCCTCAAACAACCAGTGCTCTGTGTTCAAAAGAAGCAAGTCCAGCCCCTACTTCTTCCTTGACCTTTAGTAGAGACTATAAATTCATGAATTTGTGATATTATCTTTCCTAATTCTTCTGACATTCAGCTTATTTTATGTTAATGTTATTTAGCTGTAATCTATCAATATTATTGATTCGATGTTATTTAAACAGCATTAATTTTGTTCATAACACTAATTCATTCATTCATTATAATGTATATGCAATTGTAGAGCCTGATGAAGAAGGGTCTATGGAAAAGAGTACTCTTTGTTCAGTATCGATTCTTAAAATTAAGCCGATCAGTTAGATTTCAAAATATAAAAAGAAAATTTCAAGTATCAATAAACCTAATCCCGAATAAACTTACTAAGAAAAGCCTAGAATTCGGCACTATTGCAAATCAGTTTCATTTCTAATAACAGCTTTATTCTGAACAGTGTTTATGTAATGTAGAGAATTTTAAGCGGAGTTTATCGCGTGATATTTCCTCTTTGTCCAGGACCTTCAAATTAAAAAAGATTACAGGATTTCATCATGAGCTGACATTGCCTAGAGAACCATTGGAAAACCTGGGGTGGACAGCTGTTTCGTCCTAGTTTGGGACGCTTATAACTTCTGCCAATGTCTTCATGGACCATTGGATCAGGTCCCAGTGGCCTAATAGTCTACAAGCTAGCTTGCCTTGTAACCAGAAGGTCCTGGGTTCGAACCTAGGTGGTGGCCGCGTACTGATGAAGAGTCCCAAACTAGGACGAAACAGCTGTCCAGTAGTCCAAGGTTTTCCAGTCGTTCTCTAACCAATGTCAGCTCATGATGAAATCCTGTAACCAATCAAATCCCAACAAACCAACACTTAAAAAAAAGATTAATCGACAGTAGATCGTGTGACACAGTTCTATCCGACGTGAAGGACAAACCAGTCCATTATGATATCTCTTCTTTTTTTCCTTCAAGAAATACAGGACATTTTGTTGAATACCAATTATAAAAAGTTCAGGAGTACACTTTGTAAATCAAGGACACCACTCAGTGACGATTTATTTCTTCTAATGAGATAAGTTGACATTGAGGATAATGCATTTTCACATGTTTAGTAGAAACTTGCGTTTCAGCAGGTTGTAAATGTTTTAAATACTCGCTAACGTAAAAAAAATACTATCAGAGAGGATACTTTACTAGATTTAAGCAGATTAAGTGAGAGAAGTGATGTGCAATATGGTGATGGAAGTTTTCGGTATCCCAAGTTTTAAGCAGGCCGCCAGTAAAGACTTTTCAAATAATTGCACAATTATTTCAGGTTTTTATAATATTTACTGTCTAGGAGAGTTTTACTTCAGGTGAAGTGGAGATCTATGTTAGGCAGGATTCAAACCAGCAATCCTAGAATTATCAGGTGAAACAGGAATTTTGTACTAAATGCAAGGAAATTATGCTTTATATCAACCTCAACAATTTATACGTTGCTTAAAAATAAATCTGTCAAATTAAGAAAAAAATTTTTCTTCATACTTGTTCCTTATTAAGTGTGATTCTTAAAATGGAAACCTGGAAGATGCTTCCAAATGTCAGTTTAACAATTCATAGGTGTTACCATAGCAACAGGTATAGTAAATGATAACGCCTGCTTCTTTAGAATATTGTAGGTACACGCAAACTCTCAAGCTCTACTCCAAATTTGTAAAATTCCTTGTGGTACTATCTTGATATATATATATATATATATATATGAGGAAGTTAGAACTCATGGGCTATCACGTTGGGTCCTAGTAACTGAATGGTTAACCAGCTTATCCTGTGAAATAAAGGTTCTGGGTTCGGCTCGAAGTGCCGTCATGGGTGCAGACTGCTGAATAGCCTCATATAAAACCAAAAAAAACTGTCCAATTCTCCCTGGATTTCTACTTTACATCAGTTTATGAGTTGTCAGCAGTATGCTCGCATGCATCCCCTCGAGCTAAATATGCTCAGACAATAAGGTCGACAAGTTGTGTATTCATACATTAGGATGGAACTCGTTGGCTCATGAATTCTAACTTCTAATTTTTTATATTAGATAACTTTATCTGATATCATACACAGTGGTTTACTGTTAATAAAACACATATGAAGGTCGCGCCAATATGTTAAGAATGATTACAAGTAATAAATTGTGCTTGAAACGCGATCCACTTGTTTACGTTGTTTCACTGTGTTATACGAAATAAACTTGTTTATTATGAAATTATATCCTACTACATTGACAAGTTACTGGAAATCAGGTAGCCAGAAAAGATTAGTAACGAGGAATTCTGGTTGAAAACTGAACAAGAACCTATTACTCAACAAACATACTCAAAGAAATGCAGATGGATTACACATACACTGAGAAGACTGTTGAGTGACTATAAAGTGGAGTGGAGCCTGAATGGTAAATGTGAGTGCAAGGGTTATATGAAACAGATCGTTTGGGAGAAAAATGAAAGCTTATGAGCAAGCTTGGGACCAGATAAAGAGGACGGCAGATAAAAGAGTGAAGTAGGGATATGCCACTGAGTTCCTATGTTTCTTTAGGAACCCAAAAGAGAACAATAATAATTATACAGTGTTCAAATTCTACTTTTACATTAACTCTCATAATCTCTAGTTATCCAGTGTTAATTTGCTTGGATTACATTGGTTACAGGATTGACTAGGAGCTGATATCAGTTAGAGAACCATCGGAAAACCAGAGGGATGAGAACTGGGGAGTAATTTCATTCTGTTTGGGACTCTTCAGCGGTACGTACCCACCGCATATCGAACCCAACACCTTCGTGTTACGAGGTTAGCTCATAGACGATTTAGCCGCTGAGATTCGATCCAATGGTTCATGAATTCCAACTTCTGACAATTTGTAATCTACCAAGAGGACAGTTACTCTCTTGTGACACTGGCTGGCGGCTTAACTAAATACATATCACGAATTGGCAGCAGTTAGAATTCATGGACCACTGGGTCGGCTCCCAGTGGCTGAATCATCTATGAGCTCACTTCGTAAACCAAAGGTCTTGGGTTCGAACTGTGGTGGGCATGTACTGTTGAAGAGCCCAAACTAGAATGAAATTACTGTCCAGTACTCATTCTCAGGTTTCTAAATGGTTCTCCAACTGATATCAGCTAGTGTCAATCCTGTAACTAGTCTCTAGTTTGAATAGAGAGAGAACAAACATATTTGCGGGATAATACGAGCTCGTTTCATTTCATGGATTCTCTTCAACTGCCTACATCCTAAATAAATCAATTATATGTTACAAAATGATGTCTTAACATTCCTTTTTACAACGATTTCAAGCTAAACATAGAGAGAGAGAGTATAACAACATAATTTCAAAGATGATGTAGCAGACAATTATTTAGTGTTAAAAGAGTAACTACTTATATAGTAATTAGACAAGGTGGTTAGGTGGAATTCGAATTTCTCTTGGAAACAAGCATGGATGAGAGACAAATACAAGAGAGAACAACATAGTTAATTTATACATACTATGGCGGAGAGCTCAGTAGGGTTTCACACTAGGTGTAATAGGAAGGACTGAGAGGAGAGCATCTACTACATTCACTGAGCATATCCCTAGAAGTCTCCGGTTTCAAGGCAGGAAAGTGTTCTCAAGCGCAATCGCCAGACACCTAACTGACATAAGAAACACAGTGGAAATTAGTCAGTCATTCAAAATAATCAATACACAAAGAAAAGCATGGTTACTTTGGTTAGCAGAAGCCATTGCCATCAAAAGACTTCGACCCAATCTAAGCATACGGAAAGGGAGTGTGACTAATCTCTCACTATTCTAGTACCCATAATTGTTTTTTTGTTCTGTTGCATAACATCCTACTCAAACTTGATTATGATATTCACTCAATGAGTTGAACTCATTATTGAGGTTCCAAATATACTAAACCAAATTACTTTATCTATTTTATAAATTTACTTCACTGTTCACCACCACCCGACTGAGCTCTCCCCCTGAGACTTCTAAGGACATACTCAGCGAATCTAGTAGACGCTCTCCTCTCAGTCCTTCATATGCACTTGCTGCCAAAAATGCAGCTAGCGCAGTATCCTACTGAGCTCTCCACCACAGTATATATAAATTAGCTCCGTTGATCTCTCTTGTATTTGTCTCTCATCCATCCTTGTTACCAAGAGAAATTCGAATTCCACCTAACCACCTTGTTTAATGACTATATAAATAGGTACTCTTTTAACACTAAATAATTGTCTACTTACATTTTCTTTGAAATTGTGTTGGTTATACTCTCTCTCTCTATGTATAGCTTGAAATCGTTGTAAAATGGGATGTTCAGACATCATTTTGTAACATATAATTGTTTATTACGAGTTGATCACGGATGGATATCAGTCAGAGAACCATTAAAAACCAGGAGTACTGGACAGCTGTTTCATCCTATTTCTGGGAATCATCGGCAGTACGCACCCACTGCCAGGTTCGAACCCAGGACCTTTCGGTTACGAGGCAGACTCGTATATCGGTGGCCAGTGCATGAATTCTAACTTTTGCCAATTCCTGATCAACTCGTAAAAACAAAACTAATCCTTACAAACCAACTATAAGAAATGTAATTGATTTATTTAGGATGTATGCAGTTGAAGAGAGTCCGCGGACTGAAACGAAGTCGTAATATCCTGCAAATATGAAGGGAACACCAACTGGATGATAAGCTCTAGTTCTTAACATAGCTAACCAATTCTTGTTTTATTACAGTGCATAAGCAGAAAAATTAATCTAACTCACTTGTAATTTAACCCCACTAACAACACCCATTGTTCTCCAATCCCATGAACTGGGTATGTCAGTTGATTTATTCAATGCATACTTTAATAAAATCATTTCCTTCTTTTTCGGTTTCAATGAATATTTACTTAAGTTTGTTAAATAAACTTCATTAATACGTGTCCAGTTTAAATCAGAGAATTGATTCAATCCTGTAGCATATAATTCTAAGCCTTTCTTATGCTTTATATTATGTTCTTTAATAGATAATAAATTCAATTGCCAATTCCCATAATGTTCATAATACTCTTTATGAGTAGTATATGTTTTATTATGTAAAAGTTTCCATTTTATCCATAAATCATTATTATTACTGTCATCATGTTCAATATGATTGGTATTGTCGACACTTTTATCAGTACTGTTATCAACTTCCCTGTTGTCAGTATAATTTTGATATTGATCAAGTGTATGAGTACAATTCGCAAAAATATAAACGATGAAGTAAAAGTAAATGGTAACTCCAATCATTTTTATTCCATTTTCTAAAGAAATTCGCATAATTTTTTTGGTTCACTGAAAGAAATAAAGAGGCACTTGTCTATTCACTCATATAAGACAATCATCCTTACCATTTATAAATGAAGGTAGGTGTCATATGAAATGATTCCCTCCATTAAGTTCAATGTTCAATTGTCAATGTAGCCATTCAAACAACATAAACTTATTGGAATTGAATAGAATAAAAGGAAATAAATGTTCAACGAATGATGAACATGATTTGAGGAGGAATTCATATACTTCGAATGTTTATCGAATACTGTTTTTTGTTGTTGTTTTTTTTGTCAAAAATAAATAAAAGTTGTTTTTGAAGGTCATCTAACTAACAAGCACCATGGCAACACATATTTTTGACTAGAAGGGAACAGAAACTATTTATTATAATTATTGTTTTTTCTATCTTTTTGGGAAATAGATGATTTCTAAAATTCAGTACAGTTGAATATAAATATATTTATAAAAAAAATATGTTGTATTTCGCAATGAATAATTAAAAAACAAAACAAAGCCCAGCTAAAATTAGAAATAGATATAGCTATATTCAACTGATAAATCAACACGAAATTATTGTTGACGAATTTCAACTTTACTTTTAATGTCTATCATATTCTAACATATTTTTGGATTTATCATTGTAGACAAGTAGGCATTATACGATCGACTCTTATTTGTTTGAGGGCTTTTGTCATGACTGCTGCTCTTTTATCTAAAATTATAAATAGAGGCAAAACAAACAACAGGTGTGGTGTTTAACCTGATAAATTAAATGAACCTATGATTTCTGAAGCTCTTACGTGGAAATCGGCACTAGTATCACTGCAGACTCTCTTAGTGTGTCATTAAGTGTCTTTTCAAAGGAGGCTAATGTGCTTGCTAGCCGCATTTACTTTGGTAGTTTCTTCCATATTTCAGCATATCCAATCAAGTAAAACCTTTGCTTGGTGATGTTTTACATTGTTCTATAGCCACTGTACCTTTAGTATGTCTAAGGTTTTTATCCAATGTCGTCTGGAAATTGAATACTATTAGTAGGGGTATACACTATTTGATTAAGAAGCTTATAGATGTGTATTGAATTTAGTAGCAGTCGTCTTAATCATAGCGTTTTGACTCCTAGGATCTCACATCTGGTGGAGTAGTTTGTGCTGTATTTGGCTCCGAATACTTTTAGAGTGAAGTATCTCTGTACTTCTTCTACTTTTATTTTGTCTTCTATGCGATTACTACTAGATATGAATGAATAGTAATCTAGAAGTGGGCGAACACAAGCCTTGTACAGTAGTATTCTAGATTCATTTCTGTAGAAGTTCCTGAGTAGGAAACCAATAAGCCTGTGTGATTTCATCACTTGTTTCGAGATGTGCTCTTAAAATGATAGGTTATGTGAATATTTCAGTCTTAGGTCTAGTACGGATTTGAGTCTAGGGATTTTATGGCCTTGAATTACTAGGTCAAGTTCTGGGTTGGAACAGCCTATGCAGGGCCAGCCACACTTTTCAACACATGAAGTTGTTAAGATATTAAGGGTTAAAAGGAACGACCATTTGTTAGACAGTTAGACGAATATTCCTGAAAAACGACAGTTTAGAATACATATAAATTAATAACCTGAGACTAAAGGGTTCACAGGTGGTAAACAGTGCGATTGTATGCCATCTTTTGGATATTGATTATTTTGGCGTGTACTACTAATAAGATTTATCAGTAGTATATAAGTACACGTTCATCGGCATGAAAATATCATGTGGCGGAAAGATCGATTTAATGTCAAAGAGAGGTAATGAACCGTTATTGAGGCGAAACATGAGCGACACAAGAAGAAGACGAAGGAATGCAATAAGAAGGGCAGAAGTCAACACCACGGAAGATCTGTGCAAAATGATAATTTTAATATAAGGTATACATCATTTCCCTGCGTAGAGGCTAAATGGTTCATTCTAATGAGTGACAAACAAACCAGAAGATTACGGACTTGGAAAATTGTGAAGACTTTAAGATGGGAGTTAAATCCGTGAATTAACTAATAAACACGATTAATTCTGATGAAGATTCCGTGTCTAGTGAAATGTCTATAAATGACGCATAACAGTGTGTTGATAAAAACAAATCGGACGTAATGGAAGGTGTACCTGACCAATTCGAATCGGAGATTTCTGATAACTTTTATGGGGAATATGCATTGACAGTTAGTCATACCGCCCACGCAATGACAGCAAGCGCTACTTCTGCACTTTCTTCAACCCAGTTAGCCGAATTTCGGGTTGCTGCGATGGAAAAAATGTTTCCAGATGAGATTTAATCCCCTCCTCATATACCGACTAACGAGCGCTATTCGAAATGTCCTGGTCTTTTGAATTTCTAAGGCAGTATCTAACCAACTGAGAAGGGCATTTTGCCAAAGTATTGTCAAAATATTGCCTACTTCTGAAATTATCGTCGTAATAGGCGTATGATGATTCGCTTTATTGAACAGAAACTGGAATTTCAAACATTTATTCCCCTCAATGAATTTGAACAAAGCAAGAACTAAGGTTTTGCAGAATAAAGTGGTTCCGTCATTTATTTCGTTGCCTTTGCATCAGCTGCTTACAGGTCAAAGTCATTATTAAATACATCTACAAAAGCAATTTTAACATACTTGCACAGAGTTCATTTGAACAAATGCTATTCACTTTGGCCTGTAAGCAGCTGATGAGAAGGCAGCTAAATAAATGATAGTACCACTTCATTCTGCAAAAACTGTAGTTCTTACTTTGTTCAGAAATTGGAATATCCTCAATCATCCCACAAAACTGAACAGAATCTTTACAAATATATACCATCTGATGGAGATAATATACAGCTTATATCACAATCCGTGTATCACGTGATCTTGGAGAGAAGATATTAGCTCGTCGCAGTCTACCTCTTGTTTTCACCCTGTTGGATTTGCACGCGCCTATTCTCTGAACTATATAACAGCTCTAATTTGACAATAGTGTTGATGAATCGGATCTTGTTCCTTATACTGAGTGCAGAAGATTTTAACACACATTTCAACCCGTGGTTTTTAGGTTAATCAAATAATAAAATACATATTTCTTATATTCTACTGACCAGAAGCTAAGCATGAAGATCCTAGTTTAAGGAAACAGGAAAGAGTGCAACATGATGGGATAAACATAAAAATTGATAGGAAATTGGAACTAGTTATTTATGATGAATTTGGAATAAGATTTAAGAAGTTCTGGTAAACAGCTTACAAATAAACACTGTTTACCCAGCAAATTACAAGGAGAAGATTGCGCAATAATATACAAGAAGGCATCTAAAAAGTGGTTCGTGAAATCAATCGAGTTAAGATCAGTGAATCCAAGAAATAAAAATAGTAGAAAACAAGAATACGAAATTACTCAATGAGTGTAGTGTTTGCGCACTTCGCTCCTGACCTGGTGTTCTAGTTTTCTATAGACAGGCGAATTATTTAATGTGATTGTTAATGCTTTGAAATACAATTTAACAAATTTAGCGCTTTCATTATCCTTCACTATGATTGATTGTTCAGAGTCATTCAGCTTTAATGAGATAAGATCTAAATGGAGTAACATTGTACCACTTTTCATCATTTCTCCCGATAATTTTTTAGAGAAGGCTGTATATATTAGTCTGCCACAAAAAAGAGAGATGATGTATAAGAAGTTGTTAAAAGTATCCCTGACAAATCTATTAAAAGAACATATTATGCTGCGAAGCTAGTATTCTCTAACATCACTAGGCGGAAGCTTTTGGGAAAGACCGGTTATGAGTGCTTGATACTTTTAACTCCATATGTGCAATTCAGTGTATTTGTGGAAACAAATACATATGTCTGTCACATTTGTCAATATTTAGACGAAAACTAGCTGAACATTGGATTACCGAGAGCTTGTTTAAAAGAACTACTACTGAGATGTACACTTAGTGTACAATTCACATTCAACGATGTTATTTAGAGACAACAAGATGGGATCTCTACTAAGCCCATTGCTAGCGGAATATATCATGGCAAACATGGTTCACTCAAACCGACTACAGATAATTTCCATTTTTATGCTAGATATGTGGACGACATCTTTATTATCTGTAATGATGGTCACTATCTTAATCAATTGCTAAAAATATTCAGCAACTGTCACTCAGCTACAAACCTTACTCTTAAAATAGAAAACGGATCTAAAAATCTTTTTCTTGATGTTGAACTTACAAGAGCTGACGGAATGGCCGACTGAGAAACTTCTACGATGGGTACCGGACAGTCGAAAAAAGAAACCTAATTAGATCTCTTCCCACTAGCGTCTGACGCACCTGCAGCTGTGATACCTTGGAAGAACTACACTTCCTGAAAGAAATCTTCATACAAAACGGATGTCTGCCAAGATTATTAGAAAAACACATCAAACAGAAAGTCCAAAAGCAGGAGACACCATCCGTACCAAAAAAGATACTTTATATGAATCTCGACTTCAAAGGTGACATATTCAGTGATGTCCTTAAGGGGAGAATTTCTACTTCTTTAAGAAGAACTTTCTTTGTGGCAACACTGAGAGTAATGTTCTCCAGTCGCCCGCTGATCTGCAGTAGCCCGAATGACAAGATCTCGCACCTGACCACTTCTGTGTGCATATATGAGTTCACCTGTCGTTGCGAAGCCAGGTACATCGGCCGTTCGATGTGCATCCTGTCAAAAAAGGTCAACGAACACTATCTAGAGTGACTTTAGAAAGGAAGTAGTGGCTGTATAAGGAGTGCAATAATCGAACATCTTGTTACTACTACGCAAAAAATGCCTCCGGCAAAGTAATCTACAAAGTGAAGAACAATAGGTTTTTGTCTTCTTCTTTGAATTGCAGAAGCCCTAGCCACTCAGTTAGAAGAACCAGAACTATGCATACGAAAGAAAATCATTCAGCCTCTTCCACTATCACGTCAACAACTCTGTTGATTTGACTTAACTTTTGCTTGTTTGCCTATTTTTTCTAACA